AGTTTAAGAGCTCTAAACTGAACTGACTGATAAGACGAGAGCTCTAAACTGACACTGAACTGACTGCCAAGCAATCAGTCAGTCAGTCAGTCTCATCAGTTTGGATTGATTGTTAGCAACTCTGCATGATCTATGCTCACAACACCAGCTCCTGTACTCAGGATGGACAGCCATGGCCCTTTATGTAAACATCAACGCCGGCGTTGGCAAGCCTTTATGGGAGATAACGTTGGGAGAGTTTGTGGTATGGTTCAAGGTGCGTGTGGCTTCTTCACTTCCTATGGCCCCGCGCAGCTGATTCATACTAGGGAATTGTCGGCTCCACTTTGCTCTATCCGATCATGTCAGCCAGTATTCGTACATCAATTCTCATGTTTTACCTCCGAATATTTGGCCAAGCGGTGACATCAGTCCGTTACACAGTGTTGGCTTTGCTAGTCTTACAGGGAGTCTATGTCATCGTGTACATGATCCTTCCGGCTTTCATCGCGAAGCCGTTCAACAAAATCTGGCAGCCGCTAGAGCGAGGCAAATACATGAACGACTGGTATTACTATTACACGCAAGTGGCACTGTTCAGCACAAGCATGGCTTTCGATATAATTCTCCTCGTTCTCCCGATACATCCAGTCACTCAACTTCAAATGACTGTGAAAAAACGTATCGGAGTGATTGCAATCTTCATATGCGGTGCAGCGTACGCTCCCTTCCTGAAATTCGATTTCCAAGCTAAAATTCCACTAGCGCAAGTGTCACAGCAGCATATAAGCTCGCCATATTTGTCACTCAAATGGAGAGATACACCAAGATCGATCCCAGATGTGAGCTCTTATCAGCTAGTATTCATGAGACCCAAAGTAACAAAATGCCAGGGCTACAATACGAAATGAGCACTCTTGTTCCGCCACAATTTGACGAGTACGGCAAAACGTTTTGGATACCATCCCAGGTCGAGCCCAGTGTTGCTCTTATTGGAGCAGCACTTCCTGCACTATACCCTATGGTACAGGGTGCTATGCATAGAGTCATGGCGACCATTTCGTCCATTTCATCTACGGCCAGCTCGGGTTCCAGAACACGAAGTCATCCGGAGAGCCAGGACTGTCAGCCGAGGAGGCAGACGCCTGAGAAATCATTGCTTCAATCGAATGACGGGTCGTACATTGAGCTGGATGACATAGCACCTTCTCGGCCGGGAAGGCTGTAGAGTTCTGAATGGGAATTGAATCTATATTAATAGGCGTTTTACTTCGAAGCTATGATAGAGAAAGCTTGAAGCCTCCACTAACTAGGTCGTGAAAGGTATATGAAGGATCATACTTTTCCCGCACTTGACGCATGTATCCAACGTTATTAGACCCATATTGGTCAAGGACTGCCTGATCCCAGCTCGCGTCGTTCATGAAGATGTAACGAATGTACGAGTTACTCGCCCTGGTCACTTTCTCGATCTTCTGCAGCAGAGCTCGTGTTGCATTGTGAGCAGTGGCATCGTCTTCTTCTCTCCACCAACCTATGTCAAGCACCATCCAGGTTTGATTCACTTTGTCATGGCCCAAAACATTACCGCCTCGGTCGCTGCTTGCTTGCACGAGGCTTGATGAGATTGGTTGAAATCCAAGGACAAGTGTGCCACCGGTCAACGCTTTGAGTTGGGCGACTTCAGCTGCCGTCGATATGATTGAGTCAATCTTCTCGTAGATTTCAGCGGATGGAGTGAAGCTGGTAGCGTGCCAGTCCCATCTGATATTCGTCAGTTGAAGAAATGAGTGATTGAAGCGGCGGAAACCTACCGTGGAAGGTTAGGCACAACTTGGCCGCTGATCATGTCGTTGAGGGTCTGCAGTTTTGTTGCATCTGATACTGTGGGAATATCATAGAAGGAGTCAAAAGCGGCTGGCGACTCCTCAGGTTTGAGGTAAACCATATTCAGCATCGCACCTAGGCTCTCATTGGTACCGAAAGGTTGAAGCATTAGGTTCGCATATGGATCCTTCCTCGGCTGGGCCTGATACATAGCTAACGCCTTGTATAGTGCCGGAATCTGCTCATGGCCATACATCTTCACTCCTCCCCAGACTTTGTAGATGGGGTAAGTGCGCATAGTGAAGCTCGTGACGAGACCTGTATGGCTGTCAGACTATGGTGACTTGATTTGATGTGGTTTCTAGTTACCGAAATTGTTACCCCCACCTTTCAAAGCCTTGTAAAGATCTTTGTGATGTGTGGCGTTTGCGTCTACTGCAGAGCCATCTGCGAGGACCACCTACAAAAGTAAGATATTGTTCCGTAAAGAGAGACGCGTCAACTTACCTCAAAGTTGACCACATTGTCACAAGCCATGCCATAGAGATCTGACAGATATGAAAGTCCGCTTCCAAGTATCAAGCCGCCAACGCCAACGTCTAAGACCCGGCCGCCAACGACTGTCACTTGGTACTGGTCTAAGTAACTGTACACGTCTCCCCATTTCAAACCAGTCCCAATTTTTACCGTCTGATCTTTTGCGTTATACTCTTTGGTGCTTAGTAACGAGGTGTCGATCAGAACGCCGTCATCTGTGTTTGCGGCAAATGGCGATGGTGAGTGGCCTCCCGATCGTATGGCAAACTTCACGCGCCACGAACTCAGATACGAGATGGCTTTCTGTACGTCAGCCGTTGAAGGCGGCTGCACAATGCACAACGGAGTTCCCCATGCAGTAGCTGACCTAGATTAGGTTATCATCAGCATGTTTCCACGTTTGTTTTTCGACTATCTGTTCATACCAGTTCTCAGTACTTAGATTGTGGAATGTCGAATCTGAACTCAGTACTGTCGACCTAGGCAACAAAGATTTGAGGTCTCCACAAGCATCCTGCCTGGTGCGTAAAGATGCGGTAAACACAAGCGGAGGCCATGCAAGAAGAAGGACGAGGATATTGCACAACATCATCTAATTTGATCGGTATTTCCTGTCGAGAGAAGAGACGCAAGTCCCACACTTACTATCATATATGGTCTGTTTCTACATGGTTTAACATGCAAATTTTAAATAGCAATTCTGACATCCAGCTAGGGTTGCTTCGCTTGCCGAAAAAGACTGTTTATATCCGGTGAGTGGAGCGCAAGTAGAGATTTTCCGATCGTGGGCAGGTTTACATGAAGCCATCGCAAGACCAAAAAATCTCACAATAGCGATTACGGCAGAAGTTCAACGCATTTAGCCGCCCACCCACTACTGTGCCACAAACTCGATAGTTGGTCGATGATCATTTATCGTGATAGTGACTTGGTGTTGGTTGACATGCATCGCAACTGCACTTCGCCACGAACGGTTGCATCAACGGTGGTCGACCGAGAGGCACAGTGTGGGCCAGTCAATGGGCTGGACTGCATAGATTAAAAGCCGCGGGAGCTTATCGATTCCTGTTCGAACCCCAGAAGTCGCATAAACGCCGCCACCTTGCCTAAACTTGGAGGTACCCCGACATGTCAGCCTGACGCCCCACTGGACTAGTGTGCTCCACTCTTACGTTCTATTCATGCGTGAACGCGGCGCAGCCACATCCTCTTAATCTGTTCCACCGTCACTACCGCCGCTACCGACTCGCTAACATACAGGACATTTTCGAGTTTGCGCTCACCATGTCTGGTACTATTGTTCTCACCGGCGCTAATGGCTCCGCAGCTCTCTGGACAGTTCGCTACTTGTTGCAGCATCATCCAGACAAACACCTCATACTCACTGTTCGAGACACTTCCGATGCAGATGCGAATACCAATTTACTCCGCGAGGCACTCGCAGAATATCCAGACGCAAGTTCCTCCGTCCGCCCACTTGATCTCTCAAACCTTACTGCCGTCCACGAGTTTGCGGAGAGGCTTGTCGATGAGGTCTCCGGAGGAAAAGTACCGAAGCTAGAGAGCATAATTTCCAACGCCTTTTATTGGAATCTGGCATCGGCTATGCAGATGACAGGCGATGGCTATGAGAAGACATTTCAGGTCAACCACATCGCCCACTCCGTTCTCGTTCTCCGCTTGCTCGGTAGCTTTGCTAAAGACGGTGGTCGTATCGTTCTCTTTACTAGTGACACTCATTGGCCTGGGAAAAGCGCTCTTGAAAAGATAAAGCCAAGGATACCTGCCAACTTGGATGAATTAGCCAAGCCTCCTGCAGATGAGCCAGAAGATCACATGGCCCACGGACAAAATCGCTACGCTCTCTCGAAACTGGCTATTCTGATGTGGATGTACGCGCTAAATAGACACCTCCAAAAGGTTTGTGATGATTCCATCCTATCTGAGATCCATCTGACCATTTCCAAGAACACTCGATTCTCAAACATTACTGCTGTGGCTATCAACCCTGGCAACTTGAGTGACTCTCGAGCACTGCGCGTGAATACGCCTGCAATGATCCAGATGATGTCAAAGTACATTATTCGGCCGCTGCGTCCACTCCTTCGTTTCATGGATCCAACCATGCGCACCTCGAGCGAGGCCGGCACTGATGTCGCCAAACTAGCGGTCAACGAGGCATCTCCAGGCTATCGTGGATTTCTTACTCTACTGAAGGAAGACACTAGTTCTCCTGACAGCTTGAATGAGACGGTGCAGGAAGAAATCTGGGCAAAGACATTGGAGTGGACAGGCATTTCGGCAGCAACTGCTGGTATTTCTACCTGAAACGGAAGATTGTTTGGAGGGCAATTAGCCTCCTCCGTGATATTGGTTAGGGGAAAACAAGTTCAGCTGCAAATGATGTGTATAGAAGATTCACGGGATTGATGTCTAGGTAGTGAGCGAAATTGACGTACTTGACCTTTGCACAAGCTCCGAAACCGGATCAGATAATGCAGATGCATTGAGCTCGTCTCACGTATTAAAAACAGGGGTCATTATGCATCTAGAATGTGGAGTCATCACAAGTGAGCTAAATCAGGGTTGGATGCAAAACCCCTCATGCCCAGATTTTGAGCGTATGACGAGTACGTCCTGATAGCAGCCGTCACCCCATCTGAAAATCTCGAGCGATTGTACAAACGAGTATGGCTCAAGAAGACACAGTCATACCAGAACACCAGCTGTCCGAGCGCACGCCAGTCATTGCGTAAGTTGGCTTCGTTCCTCTGGCCGATTAACAACTCTACTGACAGTACGTGCACCACTACCAAAGTTTCGACGGTGCCATTTCCACGGTAACCATCGCCCTGCCGAATCGGTGTTTCGCCTTCTCCGTCACATTCCTGCTCGACCATCCCAAGCTCGTTTCGCTCGGGAAAGAGAAGCCCCCACTTCACTTCCACCCTTATCAAGAGGAGTACATCACTGTCACTGAAGGCTGTCTGGCAGTTGAGTGTAACGGCGTAGAACACACACTCACTCCAGCTGATGGCGAGTTTGTGATCCAGCCGTGGACCAATCACAGGCTATATCCGACGGCGCAGAGAGATGGGCAAACGATCACGCGCTTCTTGCTGAGCGGTAAGGATACGGCGGAGACGTACAAGCTCGACGAACTGTTTTTCGAGAACTGGTACGGCTATCAGGATGCGGTGTTCGTGCACGGAGAGCCGCTGAGCATGGTGCAGGTCATGTCAGTAAGTTGGGTGTTGCGGCTCGGGTCGGATTGAACGAAGCGCTAAATTAGAGATTAGATGTTTGATGCGGGTGGCTCATATATATCGCTACCTACTTGGATCCCGTTCTCCAGGACGTTGGCTCGAATGTTAGGAATCGTCGTGGGTAGGTGGATTGGGGGTCTCTTGGGTTACCAGCCATATTATAGACAGTGGAGTACAGATTGGCAATTGGCATGTCAGCGTATGAGGTCTTCGACTTTTCAGCAAGGGTTCGCAGTTGAAGAAAAGGCACTGTGAGGTTCTCTGGGAGAGTATGGAGCTTCAAGGCAAACAATGGGTATTATTACTCTAATCAACATAATACAACACATGCTACGGTGCTGCTAATGTTGTATTACCATCAACTGTAATTCCATTCGACAGCTTCAGCCCAAAAGGAAGACCCCTGATGTACTTGTCCGTATACGTCCTTCCCTTCCTTTCCGCAAAAGCCTGGTCAATATCCTTGTACATGTCGTAACCATTCATCTCCTCGATAGTCAGCTTCTTCGCCTCGTCCTCGACCTTGTAGTTGGACATTGACGTGTTGCTAGAAAAGCCAATCCGTTCATTGATATTGTACGCTGCCTTGGCAGCCGAAGCCTGAACTTTGGTCGCGCGAGGCAGTCGAATCTGCTGATAAACAGCGAGTGATTCTCTCACATCTCCATTGAAGTAGTCTTTGTTGAAGAGGATACCCAAGGCAGCTGCATCTTCAATTGCCATACAGGCACCTTGGCTCTGATGCGGCATCATCGGATGTGCGGCGTCGCCAATAAGCGCGATATCGTTCTTGACAACGTAGGGATAGGGCTGGTGCACCCAGAGTCGCCAAGGCCGTACCTCGATACCAATAGCGAGGTGAGCTTTGACCTGCGCGTCGAGCTCAGGGTACGGCGCAAGGAGTTCTTCGACGGGAAGATCGGCACCGCCCCAGGTGTGATTTGTGTAGTCTCCAGCGGCGCGGGGGAAGAAGCAGTAGTAGGAGAGGAGCTCGCCGCCGTTGCAAGGGGACAAGACGATCTTGTCCCACTTGCCTTCTTGGCCGCCCCAGTACTCTAGTGCGCTGTTGAGGGAGTAGTCTGTGAGACCGAGCTTACGGACGTCTTTTGTCATGACGTTTGCGTGCAGACAGCTTTGTTCTGCTGGTCGCTTTTCTGTGACGACACCGATGAGCTTTCGTGTGACAGATCCAATACCGTCTGCTCCAACAATAAGGTCGTGTTGTGCCTTGACGCCGTTGGAGAATGTGATTTCGCTGGACTCGACGTCTATACTCTCGCACTGCAGAATGATGTTAGAAGGGTAATGTGGCACAGGGAAATGCCGTGATTGCATGGGACAAAACCTTACCGGATGGTTCACCAATAATTGCACCGGGGTACCATCCCCCTCTTCTTGCAATGCAGTGTCCATGAGCATCTTGTGCATATACTGGCGATGAAACATGTTGTAGACGTATCCCCACCTCTCCTCATAATCGTCTAGATCGTAGACGCTGACCGGCTCGCCAGTCTTCCAGTCCCGATTGATGAGTTTCTTCAAAACAACAGGGTCACCTTTCTGGACATCGACTCCCCACTCGTGTAGCCACCGGGTACCATTTGCTGCGCATGAGACTGATGCTCCTGCTTCTCCGGCGAAGTCATTCCGCTCGTAGATGGTGACTTGGTGGCCTGCTCGGCGCAGCGCGATGGCGGTTGATAATCCGCCAATGCCACCTCCGATGACGCCCACGCTGAGTCGTCTCCAGCCGATCTCTATCGAGCCCATGCTGTAAAGGATGGCGTTGGTCAGATAAGGGGTTATGTTACTGAATTGCTTGGGTTGCAAGAAGTGAAAGAGTTTGCAACGGAATCTGGATAAAGTGTATAACGACTATGGGTCTCAAACACCTTCTAATAAATATCTACCACTTTGTTCAGCCCGCGTATGCAGCATCCTAGATCCCGATGCGGATCGAGCCACTCGGCTGCCTTTTGCTTGCGCGGATCAAAACGGTCGGGAGAGTGTTATCTGCGGAACGGATTCTCGCCATGTTTGCAATGTTTTTTTTATTCGAGGATACCTGTTCGTATGGCGATGGTATGGGTTGTGGGAGTTGTGAGTGGCGCGTCGTGGGTCCTTATCTGCGGAACGAGTCTTATCGACGGATCGGATGTTATCATCGGAACGGATGCAGGACCAGACAACAAGTTGCAGCGCAACAAACAGATGGGACGAAGTACAGTAGTGGCTTTGGTTGACGGAAGGGAATGATCAAGCGGACGACTTGGAGAAACAGAGACTCAGATTGTTCGTCGGCGTTGTCAAGGTTGCGGCTCAAATTGTGGTTGGACGGTAGCTCCCTTACAACCACTTCCGACAGATGGCTCGCGACTCTTTCTCCGCGTCACAGCTGCACCACCCATAGTTTTTGCGCCTCTAGTTACAGCTCGAGGGGAAATGGTATCAGATACGATAGCCTGTCTCTACCAAACGTCTTGCCATATATCAAGAGCCACGTCTATAACCTGTTCACAGGCCTGACAAGCGTTTACATTTAGTATACATTCCTTCTCTAAAAGTCGCCTGAAGGCATGAGATGGCTTCCTCCATGGCTCTGGCTAGCAGCAAGGCTGGAGCCATACCACTCCATATGTTCCATTCTGATCATCCTGTATTCACCATGCCTAGCGATCGACCCAAACACGAGAGATTAGTGAAATTGCTCGGCAAGTTTCTGCACCTTCGCGCACGTCTCAGCCCCATCCAACACCCAACTTCCTTCTTCATAAGAACCTCGACATAACGAGACATCTGCCCCTCCGCTGCTTCGATACTCCAGCTCAATCTCCGTCTTCCCTTGGCCATTCATTCCGAACGTGAAGGAAGCATTCCTAGCCAGGACAGTCCAGGACGAAGTGGCCCAGGTAGCGACTTCTTGACTTGGTAAGGTAAAAAACATCAGAGGCTATCCTGTTTGCTCTGAACAGAAACATTCGTGTGAATGCTTTCTGGGTGTAACCAAATCGATGCGAATGCAATGTCATGACTCTCCAGCCGTCGAGTCTTTTTCCCACACTCAGAACTACTGCCGCCTTGCCAGTCTCGAGATGGAGTTGAAAGAAGTTGTAGTCCTGACTACCCAAGATCCCCGCCTCACTGGCGCTCGAACAATGCATCAAACTTACTGATATCTTTGACTTTCTCAGTGCTGGACATTGTTCCGGTTGTGCACATTGTACGGGTCGGAGCGTCGCGTTTGCTAATCTTTCGCTTTCTGTTTGACCCTCCTCCAGGATCTTTGTGTTCCATGTTCCATGTATGAGAGTAGAGAACAAATCGAGAAACGGCACGTCCTTGGCTAATCTTGGCGTTGGAGTAGAAATTGGAGTCGAGATCCGATTATAGCTTACTTAGCCACGCTATCACTGGCTCGCTTGCAAACATGCTGCGATGTATTGGTGCGCGACGCTCAGACTACAACCTGTAACCCCCACGCTCGTCATGTCTAGCAACTCTCCGTGTATCAATACGAGGCTGTCGGCACCACAGTCCACGGAACAAATGTTCCCAAGTGGTCTGGCGTAAGCGTCGCAATTGAGACATGTCGGGAAACAGCAAGGCTGAGTATGTGCACAACTATGCGACACGTCGTTGTTTCTCAGGCTTCTCCTGAATCCCCTCAGCATTCTCTTTGCTGACAACCCTGCCTGTTGCGCTATTGATGGTCGAGACAACCGCCCGCGAGTACCTCACGCTGATATACTCGGCGCCGATGGCGTCTGCACATCAGCATGCAAGATAGCATATACGCGCCATGTTAAGCTTCATCGGGACGCATATTCAAATGAATGCAAACTCATATAGGGGCATAAGAGGCACAAGAGCATATAGGCATTCACACGCACCACGGAGTTTTACTTGCTGCTTCATAATTCGCTTTGCTCTAGAGCTGACCTATTCACTCATCGTCATCCTTCCTTGGCCTCGGCGGCTTCTGTCCATAGACCAGCGATCTGCACATCAATTAGCAAAAAATGCCATCTCTCACCTGAACCTGCATCTCCTCTTATTCCACGCTCCCCCACCCATCATCAACATCATTACAAAAGAAACATGATAAACTTGCACCTCCTGATAAGCATGGATACTCCGATCCCTCAGCGCTGTCCTCATATGCGCAAGATAAACCTCAACCTCCTCCTTACTCCACTTCATCACCGTCGTCAACAGGTACAAGCTCCACCCTTCGATGCCCTGCTCCCAGTTAATCCGATTGTACTGGCCCAACTCCTTGAACCTCTTATCCGCCGGCCATCCTCCTACCGGCAACTTCCAGCGCCGTTCTACCACGTTGACAAAGCCTGCTGCTTCGAGCCCCGCACGCGATTCGTCGACTGTGCGGAGAGATTTGCCGAATTTGTCACCGAGTTCGAGCGAGATCTTGCCCCAGCGGTCGAAGATGGAACCGGAGGTGACGGTGCCGTCGTCGGATTTTAGTACAACGCTGATTTCGAGCTGTTCGACGTAGCCGCCGGGTTGGAGGGCACTAATGACAGAAGCGTATGGTCAGCTGTTGCAATGTCTAACAGGCGAGCCAAGGTGATGTATGGGGGCTTCACATACTCCAGTGCTTCTCTATAGAAGGTCGCCCAGTTCGCTACACACCCATATAGTGATCGCATGTGTATGAAGTCGAAATGATCTTTCTTGAATAGCCACGGCTCAGTGAAGTCGTCGATTTCGAAGCGCACGTTGGGTGGGACCATGGATGGTTGGGTGGGGCTAAGATCGGTTCCTATGACCTGTTCACATCAATAAAGTGATACTCACTCGACTGCCTGCTGCAAAGTTCACTGACCTCGGCTGATGGATATCTATCGGCAAAGTCGATAGCCCAGATTCCTGGATGTGTCAGCTCATGCGTTGCCTCAGGCGGACTACTGTGTGCGTACCAGTGCCCGTTCCCAGATCCAAGACATGCTATTCCGTAGACCAACCATCAGCATTTACCAACATGTCGCACCCCCCCATGCACATCATTACATACCATAGGCTGTTCCTTGATCGGAGCCAAAAACAGCTCGCCGTCGAGCAAGAGGAGACAGATATGATGCCTTTCGTCCAGGTCAACACACGGCGTAGAAGCAAACGGGTCGCAGAACATACGTTATATCCAACTGATCTGATTGTGTCTCGTCATTCGGACCCCCTGCGCCCACTTAGGAACTGCATTGGATGTACAGCGAGCGGATATGCTAACAATATGCTCCTTCCTTGTACGCATGGTATCGCCGGCCGTTGCGGTACTTGTAGTTGTATACGGCGGACTTGAGGGACGTGGTCTCGCTTTGATGGCGTGTCAGAAGGCGGCTCCGCGTCTCACGGGAGAGACTTACGATGCCGAGTCGTCGCCAAATGCCGAGTCGGTTTCATCCGAGTCCTGGAGTTGTCGGATTAGTTTGTGGATGCGCCAGTGAAGAAATCGAGAGTTGGGGGGAGAGAAAGACGCACAACAGCAACCTGAGCTTCAATATCAGCCATGGCTTAGTCTGCGCAAAAGCAATGTCGTCGTCGCCGTCGTTGTGGGGAGGTACGCGAGTATGGCAAAGGCAGTATATCCCGTATCGGGGTCCGGCAGGCGTCATAAGTTAGCGTGACCTTATGTACTGATGTCAACCGTTCAGGCCAGCAGCGCTCTCTGTCCCCTCCACCAAGCGCACCCGCTTCCGTGTGGCCTCCGGCTCTGCGCCGGCAGAATGCACGCATGCAGGCCGTCGACCGACCCGCACCAGCGCGCTACCTGCCAAGTGCTCCGGTTGGCTACAGGTAGTCAAGGCAATCAGGAGAGTTGTCCTTGGGTGAAGTTGAAGGTGGGGGAGAGGGCCATGGCAGATGCCGTAGTCGAGTGCTTGGGTCAGCGACAAATGCGCGACTACTGAGAGGTCGACCTTCATCTTCTTCCCACTAACTACGACCCCATCTTTCCAGACAAGCCCAATCTGGCGACGCTGTTCCGCCAATCAATGCTGGCCGACAACCATTCCCTACCCGCCACGGCGGTACTGCTGTCGGCGGGTGCAACTGCCCTGTTTGCCTACGTGCTCTACGCAGTGACCTACAACGTCTACTTCCATCCGCTGGCCAAGTTTCCGGGACCGCCCCTCGCCGGCGCTACGACGTACTGGAAAGCCTACATTGAGTGTATTGCAAACCGGTCCTTTTGCCACTTCCTTGTTGAGCTGCATGCGCAGTACGGTACGTGAACTCGGTACCGGGCACATGGAAGAATGTTTAGACGCTGATGTTGTGTCGTGATAGGCGATGTTGTTCGTATTGGCCCCAACGAGGTACGTTGTTTGTGTGTAGTGTAAAAGGACTGCGAGCGATATGCAGCCACCCCACTACGCCAAACTGTGCCGCCACGTGTTTACTGACGAGACGGTTGTAGCTCCACTTTGCCAACCCAAAAGCCTACCACGACATCTACAACACCAAGAATCGCTGGGACAAGGAAGCGACGCTCTATCAAAGTTTCAACGAGGACAGATCCAGTTTCGGTTTTCTCACGTATGCAGAGGCTAAGAATCGGAAAGATGTGCTTAACAAATCCTTTTCGCTGGCCGCTATCGAGAGCTCAGAGGGGCTATTGGTGAACAAGGTCAAAGAGCTCTGTGCAGCCATTGAGAAGAGGAGCAAAGATGCCAAAAGTGTTGATTTGTTCTACGCATTCCGCTGCATGAGCGTCGACGTTATAACGACATTCTGCTTCGGCAAATCCATCCATGCAGTCGACGAGCCAGACTTCAAGGCACCCATTGTCGTGGCCCTCGAGGCGGCCACGCCCGTGGGTATGTACTTCAAGTACTCGGATCTGTTCAAAAACTTCATCTTGAAATGCCCGCCCAACCTCTCCAAGAAGCTAAGCCCTTTGACAGCGGGCATGATCGATCTAAACCAGGTAATTCTTCCAACTCGTTTTGCAACCAGCGGTCTACTCATATACTGTAGTTACTCTCCGCGCAGATTAATGAACTCACCGACGATCCGGAAAAGCTTAAGCTCCTTCCTCACAACATGACCATCTACCACCGGTTGATGGATCCCGAGGCTCATCGTGACAAGCAAATCCCTTCTGCTGGTAGCCTGTATGAAGAAGCCCAGGCGCTCATGTTCGGTGGCACAGATACTGTCGGCAATACCCTCATGGTAGGAGCTTTCCATCTGCTCAAGCATCCTGAGAAGATGCAGAAGCTCAAGGCCGAGCTGTCAGGCGCATGGCCTTTACTCAACGAGAACGAGCCCAATGTACGCGATTTGGAAAAGTTGCCATATTTGAGCGCTGTCATCAAGGAGGCGCTTAGGATGAGTTCGGGCGTCACGTCTGGGCTTTTGAGGATCGTGCCGAAAACTGGCGCAACCATTGCGGGACATGAGGTGCCGCCGCAGGTACGCATACGTTATTCTATGCAGAGAGAGAGAGAGAGATGCGCGGGCTGATTGCATTCTAGACCATTGTATCGTGCGGTAGCACTTTCGTCCACTTCAACGCCGACATTTTCCCCAAGCCCGACGAGTTCGTGCCAGAGCGCTGGCTCGACGAGTCGGCAGAGTTGGACAAGTGGCTTGTCGCTTTCTCGCGTGGCCCACGCATGTGCTTGGGAATCAAGTGAGTCGGGTCCTGGTCAGCGTTGTAATAGATTTGGGAACTAATCTGGGTTGTTTGTAGCCTCGCTTGGGCGGAGCTGCGTCTCGGCTTTGGTCACGTCTTCCGCAAATTCGATTTGGAGCCAAAGGGCCAACTGTAAGTTTAAGTCTACTTTCTCTCTCTGAAGAACGATTCCATGTACTGTACTGACGGCGGACAGGCCTGAGAAGCTGGTCTGGCGGGATGTGTTCTTGCCACACTACCACGAGGACCATTTACAGGCGAATATGCGACCTGTAAGCGCGTAGTGGGTGGATCTTAACGGTGGTTGTTTTGCTTAGGGTATGCGAGGTAGCGTCGTCGTCAAAGCACATAATATGGAGGGTTTTCTCTGCAGGGCGATAAGGCGTCAGTCGTCGAAATACATAATACGACAGATAATCAGCCGACGGTTGACGGTGCTGCTAGCCGTCCGCTATCCGTTGTCCAGAACCTTCACACGTGTAATTGAGCGCCGATCAGTCGGAGATATCGCACCTGGGCGCAGATCCATATAGTACGAGCTAGTCGCATGCCGAGGTGCAAAGGGAAGGTGCTAGAGCGTGCGCGTTCCTCCTTGGGACAGGGCTTTCTGAAAAGAGTTTGCCAGGTCAGGTTTAGGAAGTTGAAAGGGTTGTTGTGATGTGCCGCCCCTTATTTATCACGAAGTGGCAGAATGCAGGTCTGTGGGTAGGATTGCATGTGAAGACTGTGCTGAAACGGGGGTGTTGGAGGTGTTGGAGAGAAGCGACAACGAAAGCGACGACAGCGGTGCACGACATTGGATTGCATTAGTTGTGGCATAGCGCGTCACAATCAGAGTTGGGCGCGTCGTCCAACCACAACGCTGAGATGCAAAAGTCTGTGGCTACCCCCCGCTTGTGGGGAAGCGGACAGTCAGAGATGCTGTATGTAGCTGGCGATCATGTCGATCAAGGACGGCGGAAGTTTTGGAGCCGATGACGGTGTTGGACATGTTCAGTTGATGAAGGTTGCATATGTCAAACCACTATCGGAGCGCCAATCGGAACAGTCGACGAGGCAGCAGACGGGCCGATGATTGGCGGGAAGTCGAGATGAAGATGATTGGCGGGACAGTCGAGATGAAGGGTGACAGGCGGGCCGCGCTGGCCGAACAGGTGCGCAGTCTTGGTGAGGATTGTGATTGTGCATTTCTCAAAAGGCATGGAGATCAGCCAAGAAGCAGCCGATTCGGGGGGGCGTGTCGTGTTGTGGAGAGTCGTGGGATGATGCACTGGGCGGGGGCTAAGCTGGTTTGACCAAGGCGCGCATCTCGCCTCTGGTGCATGTGAGCTAGACCCTGTTGGAGTTGATGGACTTGGACTTCTCCCCGCTGAAATACACACGACCTCAACGACGTGCATAACCCCATCTTGGACAGCTGCCAGGTGCCCCTTTGCTTGCCCACACCACCAACGCGTCGCGCACTCCACCCCCCTAAGGCTCGCATCCTCCAATGTCCGTATCGCGCCCGGGGCTTGTCGTGACGCCCGGTAGTCTGCCCTCGCTGTGTAGTCTGCCCTCGCTGTAGTTTCCCACGTACCGTACCGCCCGTACAGCCCCAGCATGCCCGCCACCGGAGGCAGCAGGGCAGTCCACGCACCGGCCTCGAAGCCCGCACCAAAGACGACTGACAAGGGCAGCATGCGTAGAGAGAGCAGTGCGAGCGCCACGACGCAGCGGCCCGGCATCAAGACGCGCGCATACTCGGCTCCCAACGTCCCCAAGAGCGACGGCCAGCAAGCCAGCGAGCTCGACCGCACAGACGAGGACAACGAGGGCGAGGAGATAGCCGACGATGCCTTCTTCCAGCGATACCACTTCCCCCAGCCCATCCTCTCCACCCAGGAAGAGGAGGGCAGCAGTGCCGAGTCGTCGTCAGACACCGAGGGACCTCTGTCGCCTACTCACCACAAGGACCGCCAGCCATCGCAAGACGCGGCGTCGGAGCCCTCCAACAGCGACTCGGCAGCTGCCATCGTGCAGGACCTCAACATCGCCGTCATCGGCGCGCGGGGCTCAGGCAAGTCGACCTTCATCCGCCGCGCCCTCGGCCTGCCAGAAGCCTCGACGACGGCCAATTGCTCGCGGCGCATGACAATCGACGGCACCCCCTACATGGTGCGCTTCCTCGAAATGGCCTTTAGCGACGTGCACGTGGGCGACCGCAGCATCATCAAATGGCCCGAGACGGTGCACGACTTTGCGACACCACGCATGCATGCCGCCGTCACCCTCTACGACGTCACAAACCACGAGAGCCTGGGCAAGGTTCCCGAAATGCTAAGTCGGTACCCCGCCATCGCGTACCACGCGCGTCTGCTGACGCGACATGCTGACCGAGTCCAGGCACACTGTCCAAGGCACAATTACCCTTCATCCTCGTAGCCTGCAAGTGCGATCAACACCCCGCCCACCGCGAGGTCGATCCGGCCGTTGTGGAGCAGAAAGCAAAGTCCTTCATTGGAGACGTGAGCGTGTTTCAGACGTCCGAGTCGTCACCGGAGACGCACCGAGGATGCCTGTCCATCATCACTCGTGCAGCGATAGCGGCCAAGCGACGTAAGTTGTTCATTTCCTTTTGTAACACATGCAGACGTACATGTCCCTACCAGGGTGCAAGTCATTGACCCCATGCAGCCAGGTCCCAAGCGTCAATGGCGCGGCGGCGGGCCAACTCTTCCGCGGTAAAATCAATCACCCAAAAGGACCTTTGGAGCCGCAAGCACGAGCGTGCTAGCTCGGAGATCTCCATGAGGTTTCAACGGGGTTCAAGCGAGGTCAAGGGCCACCGTTATAAGCCCAGCGATGCCAACAAAACTTTTTTCAACGCCGA